CGGTCGTTTTCCACTCGTTTCGGCTGATTTTTGGACGAGCGATCATCTCTCGGGACGGTCTCGCAGCGTGGATGCTTTTGTCGGAACGCGCGCGCGCGGAACACTCACGTTGAAGCGACGTTGAATCACCCTTGTGCTGCCCAGGTCCGGCGCGAGCTCTTCGACGACGGCGAGGCCTACTTTTGCGGCGAGGGCGCCGCCGCGCTCTGCGCCGGCGCGGCGCGGCTCGCGAAGCGCTTCCGCGCCTTCCTCGGCGGCCGCTGCGTCGAGGCCGTCGGGCCCGACGCGGCGACGGAGGCCGCGCTCGCGGTCCACGAGCGCTACTGCGCGGACCTCGTGCCGCGGCTGCCGGCGCTCGAGCTCGAGGGCGCCTTCGACGGCGGCGCCGCGGCGCCGGAGGACGCGCTCAAGGTCCTCGCGGCGCTGAACGACCACCGGTGCGCGATGCGGCCCTACGGCCTGCCCTTCCCGCCGGACCTCGACGACTACGAGGACGCGCTCGCCGTCGCCTACCTCGACGACGTCCAGGCGACGGTCATCGAGTGGGTGACGAACGTGCGCCGGCGCGCGCCCACCGTCGTCGCGGGCAGCGACGGGAGGCTGCGGACGCCGCAGCCCGAGGACATGCTCCGCCTCGCCCGGGAGCAGCTCCGGGCGGCGCTGGACCTCGTCACGGGGCCGACGCGCCTCAAGGCCGCCGTCGCCGTCGCCGAGGGCTGCGCGGCCTTCGCCGAGGACGACGACGAGGACGACGAGGCGCGCGCGTCGCGCGTCGCCGACGACGGCGACGACGGCGCCGCGAGCCCCCTCGAGGTGTTCGCCGCGCGGTGCAACGACTGCGCGCGCGCGTCGGACCTGTTGCTGGGCCTCGTCGACGAGGACGGCCAGCGCGAGGCGCTCGAGCGCGACTGGACGCCGGGCGCGGGCCGCGCGCGCGGCGCGACGGCGACGGAGCTCCTCGACGGGTTCCGCGGCGCGCTCGAGGCGACGGTCGCGGAGTTCGCCGCGGCGTCGGCCCGGTCCGTCGACGGCGTCTGCGACCTCGTGCTCAGCGACCTCGAGGCGCCCATGGCCGAGGGCCTCTTCTCCGAGGCGGACCACGCGGCGACGGTGGAGACCGTCGCCGCGACGCTCGCGGACTACGGCCGCGACCTCGAGCAGTGGCTCGAGTCGGCCTACTTCGCCCGGGCCCTCGAGGGCCTGTTGAGCCGCGTCGCGGCCAGGTACGTCGACTGCCTCTGCGACGCGGAGGGCCACGCGTCGCGGCTCGCGGCGGCGAAGAAGCGGCCGCTGGACGCGTACGCGGCCCTCGTCGCCGGCGACGCCGACGCGCTCGGCGCCGTCGTCGCCCAGTTCGAGACGACCCTGCCGCCGCCGCTCGTCGCCCGGGCCCTCGCGCCGCTCCGGGCCGTGGCGGCCGTCGTCGCCGCGCTCCGCGACAACCGCCTCGCGTTCCCCGGCGCCGCCAAGGCCCACCTCCACGGGCCCTTCGGGCCGTCGGCGAACGACGTCGCGCGCGCGCTCCTCGCCCTCGACCCGGCGCTGAGCAAGGAGACCTACGACGGCCTCAAGGGCAAGCTCGACCCGCCGCCGGGCGCCGCGGCGGCGCCGCGGAAGCGCACGCGCCTCTCCGTCGTCGCGGCGAAGAACCGCCGCTTCCCGAACATGGCGCGCTCCCTCTTCGGCAACTAACAGGTGCGTTAGTCGAGCATCCGGAGGCGGCGGCGAGCTTCCGGAGGCGGCGGCGCGCTCCCTCGTCGGCGACTAGAAGGGGCGTTACGCGGGGCAGTAGAGCTTCCGGAGGCGGTCGCTCTCCGCGCGGAGCGCGGCGACGCGCGACGAGCAGTCCGCGTCGGCCTTGGTGTCGGCGTCGGCCTGGGCGGCGCGCATGCCGGCGAGGTCCGCCTCGAAGGCCGCGCGCTCCTCGTCGAGGCGCCGCGTGAGCCGGTCGTAGTCCTCGTCGTGCTTCGCGCGGAGCGCGTCGGCCGCGGCCTTGCCCCGCGCGTCGTCGCCGTCGTCGCCGCCCTTCTTCTTCGGGGCCTTCTTCTTCGCCGGCTTCTTCGCGCGCTCCGCCTCCTTCTGGTCGTCCGTCAGGTCGACGGCGGCGCAGGCGTCGAGGACCGTCAGCCGCTCCTTGAGCCGCCGGACGAGCTTGTCCTTCGTCGCCGGGGGGGCTGCCGCCAGCGCGGCGGCCTCGTCCCAGAGGGGCTCCTCCGCCGCGGGGAGCGGCGCGGTCGGCGCGGTGGCGGAGGAGTCCACGGTGGCGGAGGAGTCCACGGTGGCGGAGGAGGCCGCGGCGGCGTCGTCGGTGGCGGTGAGGGAGGCCATTGCGACCAAACTGCTGCCCCGGGCCGACGCTGCCCCAGCAACATCGGCAACGATGACGCGATGGAGTCCGTGATCTGAGTAGCAGCCCCGCTCGCCCCTTGCGATGGTGCGCTCGCGCTTCCAGCCGCTCGCGGCGGGCCTCGCCGCCGGCGTCTTCGGCGCGGCGCGCCGCGCGCGGAGCGACGCCGCCGGCGAGGAGCCGTCGACGGACTGCGCCATGTGGCACGGCGCCCGGCTGCGGCTGCACGCCGGCGCGCGCGTCGCCGTCGCCGGCGCGGACCCCGACGGCCCCCTCGGCGGCCTCGTCGAGGTCGTCGCCTACGACGCCCGGGCGCACAAGTGGGTGCTGGCCGCGCCGCGCGCGGGCGGAAGCCGCGTCGGCGTCGCCGAGGACCGCGTCGCGCTCTCCCACGCGCTCCTGCCGGGCAACGGCGACGCCGTCGAGCCCTTCTGGGGCGGCGTCGGCCTCCACGACGCGTCCCAGGACCGCTGCGGCGCGGGCCTCGCGACGACCGCGCGATTGGAAAAGGGGCAGCCGCTCTTCGCCGAGTACCCGTTCGTCGTCGCCGCGCGGAGCCGCGCGGACCGCTGGGCCGCCTACGTGGCGCTGAGCGCCGCGGCGGCCGGCGGCGACGGCGCGTCGGCGCGGGCCCTACAGGCGCTGGACGCGCTCGTCCCGACGGACCTGCCGTCGCCGGACGCGGAGCGCGCCGCGCGCGCGCTCGTCGCGGACGCGCTCGGGCCCGGGGCCCACGACGCCGAGGTCGCCCGCGTCGTCGCCGTGCTGCGCAAGTACGAGGCGAACCAGTTCCTCTACGACGACGGCGGGGAGGAAAAAAACGCGACGGCGCTCTACCGCCTCGTCGCGAGGATGAACCACTCCTGCGCGCCGAGCGTGGCCCTCTACCCCGAGCGCAATGCACAAAACCCCGGCGCGCTCGTCCCCGGCGACGGGCGCCTCGTGGCGAAGGCGCTCGCGAACCTCGAGCCCGGCGAGCCGCTCTGCATCTGCTACGGCCCCGCGGACCTCATCGCCTGGGACCTCGACACACGGCGCGCCTACCTCGCGCAACACTGCGGCTTCCGCTGCGTCTGCGCGCGGTGCCTCCTCGAGGAGGAGCAGGCCGCGCGTTCTTCGCGTTAGTGGGTCACCTGGCGGTGCGCGGGTTGGTAGCCGAGGGTCTCCATGCCCCGCGTGAGGACGTCGAACTTGACCTTGACGACGCCCGTGGACTCGACGCGCGTCACCTCGCGGTTCTCGCCCTGGGCGACGAACTTGGAGTCGTAGAACTCCGCGTAGGTACCCGTGAACCACGACACGAAGCGCTGCCAGAGGCTCGAGGGCACGGGCACGTAGGTGTGGATGTAGCGGTCGTAGCCCCCGGGGAAGGGCGGGATGAGCACGGAGCCGTAGCCGCGGACGACGTCGCGGCCCAGGCCGTCGACGCCGTAGACGGAGATCGACATGCGCGGCCACCCGTGCGCGTTCGTGCTTTTGAAAGAAATGTCGACGGGGAAGTTCCAGACGACGGACTGGTCCACGCCCGGCGCCTTGCGCGCGATCTGGCTCAGGCCCGTCTCGATGCCGTCGACGACCGTCCAGTCCGGGCCGAAGCTGAAGCCGTAGCGCACGTACAAGTCGTCGTCGGGGAACTCGCCGCTCTCGACCTGGCCGTTGACGACGACGAAGAAGGCGCTCAGCTCCTTCCGCGGCGGACCGGCGGGCTCCGAAGCGGCCATCGTCGTCGGACGACGCGCTCCGGTCGCGCGGACGACGCCGGCGCGCGATTCGAGCTCCGGCGGGCTGCCCGCCGGCTAAAAGTTCAAGGCCCGCGATTGTCAATGTTTACATGTGAAGGCGGCCAGTGCGATTATTATGGGCCTCTTCCAATCGACGACCGCGGACCACGACCCGAAGCAGCTCGTGGAGTCGAAGATCGCGCTGCGAGACACGGTCGTCGTCTTCAGCAAGAGCTACTGACCCTACGCGCAGAACACGCTGAAACTTCTGCGCGCTTTGCCGGGGCTGAGGCTCGAGGTCATGGAGCTCGACCAAATGGGGGAGCCGCGTGCCTCGCCGCGTCCGGGAGGTTCGCCGTTTCGCGTCCGCGCGCTTCTGCCGACGCGCGATTCCCAGGCAACGGCCCCGTGCAGCAGCTGCTGAAAGCCCGTTCCGGCCGCACCTCCGTCCCGCAAGTCTTCGTCAACGACGCGTTCCTCGGCGGCAACGACGAGATCGTGGGCCTCGGCGCGGCGGGCCTTCGCAGCGCCGTCGCCGCGGCGCTAAACTAGGCGGACACCCCGCCGCGCATGACGGGCCGCGGCGCCGCTCCGCGGCGCGGCCCCGAGACGCGGGCGGCTAAGCGCTAGAGGTTACGCGGCGGCCGCCGGCACGGGGACGCACGTGGGCTTGTGCTTGAGCCAGTGCTTCTTCTGGCAGTGGCGGGAGCAGTAGGACGCGGTCTTGCAGCGCGCGCAGCGGGACACGGTGACGCGGACGCTCGAGACCTCGCCGCACTGCGCGCACTTGAGCGTCGCGTCGCCCGCGCACAAGTCGCCGGCGAGGGCGTCGCCGAGCGCCGCGGCGACGGCCGCGCCGCCGGCCGCGGCCGCCGTGCCCGGTACGGCGCGCGACGCCTTGGCGATCTGCTCGTCGAAGACGAAGGACACGTACTCGAGCTGGCGCCGCTTCGCCTCGTCCATGCGGACGCCGAACTTCAGCTCGTGGTACGCGTTGGACCGGCGCGACGCCTGGGGCGCGTCGAGGTCCTGGCTGACCAGCTGCGCCGTCGTCGCCTTGTAGCCGTGCGTGACCACCGAAAAGTCGCCGCCGTCGTTCTGAAAGAAGACGACGGCGTGGACGTCGCGCTGCCTCGGCTCGATCGGCAGCGGTAAGGGCGGGTCGACGAGCCCGGAAACGACCCAGCGCCGCGGCTTGTCCGGCGCCGCGTAGGCCTCGATCTCCGCCGCCTCGACGACGCGCAGGAAGTGGCGCGCGTCCCGCAGCGCCTGGGACCCGCCGAGCAGCGCCGCGTGGAACGTCGTCTCGGCCAGTAAATTCGGCCGCGCGTCTTTAACCTCCGGCTTGTACTCGTCGGGCAGCAGGTCGACGTGGGTCCGGATATCTTTATCGCAGGCGAACTGCTTCTCCGTCGCGAGCTTCTGGAGGTCCTTGAGGTGCTTGAGCTGGTCGCGGCAGTCCTCGAGCTCCTTCGCGCGGTCGAGCGCTTTGAACAAGACGCACGCCTCCTCCAGAGGCCGCACGGCCTCCTTGCGGAACTGGGGCAGCATCTGCGCCGCCTCGCCGAGCGTCTTGAGCTGCTGCGCGAGGGGGCCCTTCTTGCGGAGCTCGCGGAGCGTCGCGGCCGACGACCGGTGCTTCGAGAGGCACCGCCGGAGGCCGCCGTGGACCTCGGTCCGGAAGTCCTCGTCCCACTCCTCGAGGCCCCGCGACTCGCAGCGCGTCCGCGTCTTCACGTAGGCCACCGTGCCCTCGTGGCACAGCAGCTTCGCGCGCGCGAGGCGGATCGCCTCCGGCTCCTCGGTCCGCACGCCGGGCTTCGTGTAGCGGCGGTCGAGGCACGTCGTCAGCTTACCGAGGCACCCGTCGACGAAGTCGAGGGACTCGGCGACGCGCACGAGCCGCTCGCAGGGGCCGTTGATCTTGTCCAAAATGGCCGTGACGTCGACGACGGACGCCTCGGCGCCGTCGGACGTGCGCTGGAGAAACTCCTCCATGGCCTTCTCGACGACGTCGACCTCGTAGGCGCCGAGGCCGCCGTCCGTGACCCCGCCGTACTTGCTGCCCATGCCGGCGTGGGGCACCTCCGCGAGCGACGGCGACATGTCCTCGGCCGTGGACGAAAGGCCTCGACTGGCGAGTTCGTGATGCACAGCAGTTCCAATCCTCAAAGATGTCGCGCTAATAAGTAACCCCGAGGCAGCGTAGTCAACCGCCACCGACCGGCGGTCATCGGCCGCGGTCGGTGGGTTTGGCGCGGGCCGCCCCCGGGCCCTAGCCGCCGCTCTCGAAACCATGGGCGGCGCCGCGAGCGCCCAGGCCCAGGCGCCGCCGCACATGGAGACGCCGGCGCCGCCGTTCCCGCCGGCGCGCCTCGCCGAGAAGGGCCCGCCCGTCGGCGGCCTGCGGTCCATGAAGCGGCTCCGGCGGCTCCTCTACATCAAGGCCTACAACGCCAAGCCCGAGGGCACGACCATCGACGAGCTCTTCCGGCGCTACCGGCGCGTCAACGCCGCGGGCGTCGGCGTGCTCGCGCGCGAGGACATCAAGGCCGCCATCGGCCTCACGGCGCCGTGGTTCGACGAGCTCCTGGCCCACTACACCTGCGGGGCGCTCGACGAGGTCGGCTTCGACCTCTTCGTCGACTTCCTCGCCACGGGCGCGCTGCCCCCGGCGCCGCCGGGCCGCCGCGGCGCCGCGGCGCCGCCGCCGAAGCTGCCCGCCGCGCGGCGCGCGGCGCCGGCCTCGCCGTCCAGGGCCGCGGCGCCGGCCTCGCCGTCCAAGGCGCCGCCGTCGCCGAAGCCCCGGCGCGCCCCCAGGACGCCGCCCGCGTCGCCGGGCGCGCCCGCGCCGCCGGGCGCCGCCGGGGCCCGGAGCCCTTTTGCGCCCGCGCCGCCGTCGCCGTCGTCGCTGCCGCCGCTGGAGACGGCGGCGGCGCCGGCGCCCGCCAAGTCCCTCTTCCGGGAGCCCGTCGCCGAGGCGCCGAGCCCCGTCGTCGCCGAGGCGCCGAGCCCCGTCGTCGCCGAGGCGCCGGGCGCCGCGCCGGTCCGCGCCGCGACGTCGGACGCGCTCGAGCCCGTCGACGAATGCGCGCTGGCCGTGCTCCCGGGCGACGCCGTCATCGCCGCGGGCGACCACCTGCGGTTCCGGCGGCCCGGCCCGGCGAAGCCCCTCTGGCGCAAGCGCGAGGTCGTCCTCCAGGAGCGCATCGTCCAGGGCAGGACAAGGGTGATTCAACGTCGCTTCAACGTGAGTGTTTCGCGCGCGCGCGTTTCGGAAACAGCATCCACGCTTCGAGACCGTTCCGAGAGATGATCGCTCGTCCAAAAATCAGCCGAAACGAGTGGAAAATGGCCGAGAGAGGAGCCTTTGAAGTTGGGAATTTCGCACTCTTGTCCTGCCCAGGCATCGTCCAGTACACGACCGTCGACGTCTCCGGCGCGGTCCAGGAGCTCGTCGAGACGGAGCGGTCGTCCACGGAGGTCGTGCACATGGAGTGCAAGGAGACGGGCGAGTTCGCGCACCGGGAGACGTCCGAGTACGAGCAGCTCGAGACCTTCAACGGCCAGGCCGTCGCGGAGAACCGCGGCAACGAGGAGTACTACCACCTCAAGTCCGCGGAGGACGAGGTCGAGTTCATGGAGTCGAACAACATGCCGAACCGGGCCGGCGCGCCCGGCGACGCGCCCCCGGGCACGCCCGGCGGCGCGCCCGGCGGCCGGCCGCACTCCGCGGGCACGCCCCACTCCCGGACCCCGCACGGCGCGCCGAGCCCCGCGTCCTACGACGCCATGCCCGAGGGCTGGAACCCGCCGCCCGTCGACGTCCCGGGCGTCGCCGTCGACGCTTCTGGCCAGGCCGTCTACGCCGACACGGGCCTGCCGCTGTCGCCCGAGGACTTCGACATCTTCCAGCGCGCGGCCTTCGCGCAGCGCGAGGCCTACGCGGCCTACGCGGCGGAGCAGTACGCGCAGCAGCAGGCCTACGCGCGCCAGCAGTCGGGCGACTTCAGCGCGTCGCCGCCCGACGCGGCGAGCCCGGACGCGGCCTACGCGGCGGAGCAGTACGCGCAGCAGCGGGCCTACGCGCGCCAGCAGTCGGGCGACTTCGGCGCGGCGCCGCCCGACGCGGCGAGCCCGGGCGGCGCCGCGGCCGACGCGCGGGGCCCGTTCCCCGGCGCGCCCGGCTTCCCCCCCGGCTTCGCGCCCGGCTTCGCGCCGCCGCCGCCGCGCGAGTCCGCCGAGTTCGGCTTCGGAGGCGACGAGCCGCCGCGCTTCGCCGGCGACCTTGACGACGTCTTCGGCGCGCCGCCCGCGCGGCCGCGCGCGCCGCCGCGCCGCGCCGCGCCGGACCCGGACGACTACCTCGACGACGCGTCCTTCGCGGGCTACGCGCGGCCCGGCGCGGGCTTCGACGGCGGCGGCGACGGCGTGTTGCGCTTCCACGACGACGACGATCTGGAGGACGACCTCGAGCTGGACCGCGCGCTCGACGGCGGCTCGCCCGACGGCCGCGACCGCCGCGCGGCGACGGCGACGACGGAGACGTACAGCGCGGAGCTGCCCCAGCACCACACGGCCTCCGCGGAGACGCTGGGCACCGTCGGCGACCTGCCGCCGCCCCTCGCCAAGGTTTCGGGCGACGGCGGCGCGCCCGCGCCGCTGTCGACGCCCGTGGACGCGGACCTCGACTAGGGAGCCCCGTAAGTAGTCCTCACCCCCTCTAGACCTAGGCGCCGTCGAACGCGGCGGCGAAGTCGTCGTCCTCCGGGTCGTCGTCGAGCCCCGCGACGCCGAGTGAGGCCATCGCTGCGTCGCCATCGCCGAAAGTTTCGCCGCCGTCGCCGTCCATGGTCGCGTCGCCGTCGCGGCGCGCGACGGCCTCGACGCGGCCGTCCTCGATCTCGCCGAGCTCGTCGTCGGACGCGCCGCGCGCGGGCGACGCGGGCGACGCCGGCGGCTCCAAAGCGCGGTCGTCGAGGCCGCGGTCGTCGTTCTCGGGCGCGAGGGGCTCGTCGCGGACGCGCGCGAACCGCTCTCGAACAAAGTCCAGCGGCCGCGCCGCCTCCCGGACGTCGCGGCGCGCGTAGAAGAGGACGTAGGCCGCCGGGTCGTCGCACACGTCCCCGATCTCCAGCGCCTCGACGCGGCGGTCGTCGAACTCGAGCCACCCGCGGCCGTCCAACCGCCGCGCCGCGCAGGTGTAGTGGCCGTGCTCCAGCCCCCCAAAGTGGTTCACGACGGCCACGAGGTCGTAGGACGGGCCGGGCCCGTCGCGCGCGCCGTCGAGGAACCTGTGTGGAATTCAACCACTGGTTTGGGTGGTCCTGACCAAACTTCAGAATTCTCTAGCTCGGTCGAATCGAAGTCGATTCGGCTGATTTTTGGACGAATCGAGTGCTCTCGTCGAGTTCTCGAAGCACAGCCGAAGAGATTGCGTCGAAAATGTCGCATACGCTCACATTGAAGTCGGGTTGAAGATTTGAATTCCACACAGCGAGGAACGTCGACAGCTCCAACCCGTCCACCGGGAACGCGACGCGGTCGCTCAGCTTGCGGCGCCGCCCCCGCTCCGTGACGAAGAAGCGCTTGAGCACGAGCGCGAGCACGGGCGGCGCGCGCCAGAGGGACACGCGGGACGTGTGCGCCGCCTCGGCGTACTCGCCGCCGTTGCGCCGCGTCTCGGCCTGTGTGGAAACCAAATCTTCAACCCGACTTCAGTGTTAGCGTAATCGAACATTTCGACGCAATCTCTTCGGCTGTGCCTCGAGAACTCGAGGAGAGGAACCGATTCGTCCAAAAATCAGCCGAATCGACTTCGATTTGACCGAGATAGAGAGGTTTGAAGTTTGGTCAGGACCCCCTGAACCAGTGGTTGGTTTCCACACTGGTCTCCGCGGCCGAGTACTTGGTCACCGTCTCCGGCGCGCCCACGGCCGCCAGGCACGCTTCCAAAGCAATGGGCGGCGGCGGCGGCGCCGGCGCGCAGGACGTGTGGACGAGCGCGTGGCGCAACGCGCGGTCGTTGAAGCGGCGACGTAAAGATGTAGGAACGTCCGCCGCGAACCGCACGCCCTCGAGACACCGCGCGTCGTCGCACAATACGCGGCCGTCGTCGGGCACGAGGCGCCCGCCGTCCGGCAGCAGCATCTCCGACCCGGCGAGCGTGCCCGCCGCTAAGCGCTCGCGGTCGCTGCCGCGGCTCGCGAAGGCCCGTAAAGCGAACGGCGGGCCCGAGCCGTCGCGGGGGACCGAGTCGCAGAAGGGCGCGAGCTGCTCCCAGACGACGCGGTACAGGTCCGCGCCCGTCGTCTCGTGTTCGACGATGCGGATCACGAAGGGGTCGCCGAAGAAGCGGAGGCGGCTCGGGTCCGAGAAGTAGCGCTCCGCGACGTCCAAGGTCCGCAGCGCCACGGTGCACAAGGCCGCGGGCGGGATCGGCCGCGCGGCGTCGACGAGGGGCGGCACCTCGTAGATATCTAAACGGTGCGCGCAGTGCGTCGCGAAGACGGCGGCGAGCGCGGGCTCCCGCAGCCCCGCGCGCGGCGACAGCAGGTGCGCGGCCGCGTCGAGCGCGCGTTCCGTCGCCGACGGCCGCGGCCCCAGACAGGGCAGCATGGCCACGAGATTCGACGCGTCCCCACCAAAGGCCGCGAGCTCGGGCTCGTCGTCGAAGTTCTCCAGCGTCGGCGCGTGCTCCAGGGTCCGCGAGCTCAGCGGCAGCGCCGCGGCGGCTTCCAGCACGTCGCCGACGGCCGCGTCCGCCGGCACGGGCACGACCGCGTCCACGGGCCAGCAGCGCTGGCGCGCGAAGCGCAACCGCACGCGCACGCGGACCGTCTCCTCGCCGCGCGCCGCCGAGTCGGCGTCGAAGAGGGGCACGGCCAGCGACGAGAACGCGTCGAAGCCCACGGACCTGTGTGGAATTCAACCGCTGGTTTGGGTGGTCCTGACCAAACTTTGAAATTCTCTAGCTCGATCAAATCGAAGTCGATTTGGTTGATTTTTGGATGAATCGATTGCTCTCGTCGAGTTCTCGAAGCACAGCTGAAGAGCTTGCGTCGAAACTGTCGCATAGGCGCACATTGAAGTCGGGTTGAAGATTTGAATTCCACACAGCCACGGACTTTTCGACGTCGTTCGCGTCGCAGACGAGCTCGCGCCGCGTCTGCCCCCCGAAGAGCGCCGTCACGGGGTGGTCCTCGCGCAGCTCGGCGTGGTTCCGCCAGCACTCGGCGGCGACGTCGACCTGGACGCGCGGGTCCGCCGGGAAGGGGCTCTCCGCGTCGCCCGCGACGTCCGGATTTTCCACGTACGGCTTGTCCTCGACGCGGTTCAGGTCCTCGCCCAGACCTTCCAGGAGCTGCTGGAGGAACTCCGACGCGTCCTGCTGGCCGAAGCCCGCGAAGGTGTCGTTCCAGTCGCCCAGCGTCCGCTTGAAGGTGTCCGGCGTCACCGCTTCCTCGGACTCGTCGAGCTCGCCGAGGAGTTCGCCGAACGCGGTCGCGAGCGCGCCCCGCGCGCCGAACTTCGACCGCGTGTTGATGTCGTAGCGGAACTCGCCGGACGCGAAGTAGGCCCGCAGCGGCGGCACGTGCGCTAAAGCTTGCAACACCGAGTTCATGTAGCACGTGTTGCCGAGATTCCGCAGGCCGACCTCGCCGACGCGCGCGTCGCCGTCCAGATCCGGCCGCAGCCCCCCGACGGGCCGCGCGGGCGCCGCGACCTCTGTGTGTGTTTCACCACCATCCTCGGGCTCATCACCACCATCATCAAAGAGCAATTCGATGGTGACGTCCACCGGCGCCTCGTCGCCGTCGCCCGGCTGCGACGCGTCCATGAGGCCTGGGCAGGAAAAGGGTGATTCAACGTCGCTTCAACGTGGGTATTCCGCGCGCGCGCGTTACGAAAAACACATCCACGCTTCGAGACCGTCCCGAGAGATGATCGCTCGTCCAAAAATCAGCCGAAACGAGTGGAAAACGGCCGAGATCGGAGCCTTTGAAGTTGGGAATTTCGCTCTCTTGTCCTGCCCTGCATCAGACAGGAGCAGGGCCGCGTCCAGGCGTCGGCGTGGCGCCCCCGCGAGCCGCCGTACATGGCGGAGAAGGGCGGGCCGTCGTAGAGCGGCTGGAGCCGCGGCTCGCCGACGACCGTCGCGGCCTCGGACGGCGGCTGGCGAGGCTCCGGCGCCGCGTCGCGCCGCACCGCGCGCACTCTTAACCGCCGCGGCGGGCTGCCGCTCCGCAGCAGGGGGCCCCGGCCCGCGTGGAGCTCCAGCGCCCGGTGCGCGCGCGCCGCGACGACGTGCACAGGCTCGTGCCGCAGCACGGGCACCACCACCGCGCGGTCCGCCGCGCGCCGCGCCAGGCACCGCGCCGCGTGCGCCTCGAAGGACGGCCGCCCCCGCTCGTCGACGGCGACGCGCCGCGCCACGGGCGCGCCCCGCTCGCCGTGCCAGCGCCGCAGCGCCAGGTAGAGCTGCGGCGGCACGAAGACGAAGTCCTCGTCGTAGGCGACGTCGCGCCGCAGCGCCCGGAGCAGCGCGCCCGCGCCGCCGTCGTCCTGGCGGCCGTCCTGGTCGCAGAGCACGACGTCGTCGCGGGGCTGGCTGCAGACGTCGCGCGCGCGCAATAAGTAGGACGCGTCGATGGGCGCCGGCCGCGGGGACGCGCAGTCCGGCGGGCCCGGCGCGCCCGCCTGGGCCGCGCCGTCGACGCCCGCGTCGCGCGCGGCGCGCTCCTCGGCCCAGCGGTTCCAGCCCACGAGCCAGCCCTTGGGCAGCACGACCCACGTGTCCCCCGGCACGCACGTCTCCGCGGACAGCGTGAGCGACACGTAGGGCGACACGACCCTCAGCTCCGCGGCGCCGTCCGCGGGCCGCGCGACGCCCAGGCGCACGTAGAGCGCGTCCTCGACGCAGGCCCGGAGCACGCCCGCGCGCACGCCCACGCGCGCGCACAGGTCCGCCTCGCGCGCCTCGGACGACCGCGTCACGGGGCCGCAGCAGCACCGGAAGACGGCCTCGAAGGCCTCGCGGTGCGCGACGCCGCTCCGGTTCGCGTCCAACACGGCGAACAGGCGCCGGCAGTGGAGCGTCGACACCCATACGCCGCGCACCGGCGCCTCGAGTCGCGGCCGGTCCCGCAATCTTTCGCCGGAGAAGCAGTCGACGACGGTCGCCAGGTCCACGGCGCCGCTCGACGAGTGCTCCTGGAGCTTGCCGAAGAGCGCCGCCGCGAGCTCGCCGTCGAGGGGCCGCTCGGCCTCGGAGCTCGCGCGGCGCCGCCGCCGCGGCGGCGGCGACCCCAAACCCCGGTCGTCAGCCGTCGAGGCGGAAGCCGCCCGGCAGCTCCGGCGGCGACCGCATCAAGTCGTCGCGCGCGGGCCGCGGCGTCGCCGGCAGGCCCAGCGCCGCGGAGCTTCGATGGAGCGCCGCGTACGCGTCGTCGGGCGCCGGCGGCGCCGGTCGCCGCGGCGGCGTCCGCGGCGCGCCGTCCGGCGACGGCCGCGTCGCCGACGACGGCGCCGCGCTGTAGGCCCCCGGGTCCTCGGCGCCCTCCGCCGGCGGCCGCGGCGGCGTCGCCGCGGGCGCGCCGTCGCCCGGCGGCTCCGGCGGCGCCTCCGGTAAAGCGCCGGGCGCCCAGCCGTCGAGCGCCGCCACGACGAAGGCGCAGAGCTGGTCGCGCACGGACGCCAGCAGCAGCTCGTGGGCCTCGGACCGCTCGCGCCGCCGCGCGAGGTTCCGCCGGCCGTCCAAACGCTCCGTGAAGTCCGCGTCGGAATCGCCGAGCCCGTCCGACTCGTCGTCGTCGTCGCGCCGCACGGGCTCGCGGCTCGGCCGCAACAGCGCCGCCACGCGGATCTCGTCGCGCGAGGTCGCCAGCCCCACGGCGTCGACCAAATCCGCGGTCCGCAGGTGCGCGCGCTCTCCCGAAACGCCCCGCGGCGCCGAGTCGGGCCGCGGCGGGCCGTAGAGCCCCTCGTCGTCGCTCTCGCTCTCGTCGTCGAGGCCCGCGCCCAGCGCGTCCTCGCGCACGGCCCGCAGCAGCGCGACGACGGCCCGCGGCGTGCAGTACACCCCGCCCGAGCCGCCGTAGTAGCCCCGCCGCCCGTCGTCGCGCGGCGGCGTCGCGCGCGCGGCGACGAGCATGGCCAGCCGCAGCTTGTCCTCGTCGCGGCCGCAGCGCGCGATAGCTAAAGCCTCGACGAAGCGCTCCTCGTCGATGGACCAGCGGTCGTGGCTCAGCGCCTGCCACAGCGCCGTCGCTAGGCGCCGGCTCAGCTGCGGCGCGACCTCGCCCAGGAAGTCCTCCGTGAAGGCCTTCTCGGACAGGGACCGCGCCCGCCGGTAGCCGTAGCCGTCGACGTGCGCGACGCGCGCTGCGGGGGGGCGGGACGTTCGTGGTTGGGGACAGGGGGCGAGAGAAAAGGGGTGGGAACGAGGGCGGGGTCGCGCGGAGAACGTTCTGGCGCGGCGGCGCGCCGAAGCCCTCGCGCACGGCCTGCTCGTCGGCGGCGCTGAGCAGGTGCGCCATGGTCGCCCGCCGCGGGTCGGCCGCGCCAGCCACACGCGAGGAGGCACAGGCCCAGCTCTTGAAAATCGACCCGCTCTCCTTGGCATCCGACGCCCCGCGCCGATCCCCGGCCAACTCGACAGCGTGCACGCCGATGCCTCGGCATATAGGAAATGAGCCGTGGCCGTAAGAATTGCCCAACGTTCGGCGCCCCGCTCGGACGCCCGCACCAACCGGCAACGTGATGGCCGCGCCGCGCCGCAAGCTCGGCGCCACTGCAGCATGGTACGAGGCGGAGGCGTTCAGATATCGCGCGGAACCCGGCACAAAGCGGGCGCGAAAGCAGGTGCTGCCCGCCGTCGCTGCGGAGCACCGTTCCGCGAAGGACCGCAGCCCCAGGGCTGCCTCGACGAAGCGCGGACGCCCGGACCTCGACGTCTTCCTCGGCGCCGGCCCGCTCAAGGGCTCGCAGGTCGACTCGGACGACATCGGCCGGCCGTGTTGCCTCGAGATCCCCGAGGAGTCGCGCACGGCCACCGGCGTCGTCCTCGACCAGCGCCGCGCTCGCGGCAAGGAGCACTACGTCGCCTACTTCGAGCCGCAGGACGGGCACGCGGCGGAGTTCTACGAGATCGAGTTGCCGCCGTACGAGCAGTTCAAGCTCCTGGCGCCGGGATCGGTGGAGGTGTCGAAGCGCGTCGCGCAGATGCTGCCCGGCGGCCCCGCCCTTCAGCAGCGCGACGTTCAGGTGCGGCTCGGGGAGCCGTCGCCGCTCGACTTCGGGAACATCTGCGCGAAGCTCATCTCCTCCGAGGTCGCCGCGATCCAGAAGGCCCTGCGGTCCGGCAACAAGACCGCGAAGCGTACGACGTCGCACGCGCTCGGCTTCTATCCGCGGGCGGCCTACGACACGACGATGTCGGACGCGCCGGCCGTGCACAAGCTCGTCTCGGTGAAGCGGTCCGTCGCGGTCTGGGACAGCGTGAACCTGTCGTCCTACTCCAAGTACGAGTTTAACATCGTCCGCAAGAGCGTCTACGAGTCCGAGGACTTGCTCAAGCTCGAGAACATGTACGGCAAGGGCTTCCACTTCTGCATCCGCGGGCGGCCGTCGCGCCCCGAGGCGAAGCCCGTGCGCCTCGAGGCGCACAACCCGCGCGACGTGCAGGTCCTCGTCAAGCTCGTGCGCGAGTACAACTTCAGCAACGAGACCTTGACTCTTCGGACGACATGGCGCCGCGTCGTCCACGTCTGTCCCGTCGACGCGCAAAACCTTCGGCTCGGCCAGTCCGAGGACCAGTCCGACGAGCAGTCCGACGAGCAGGACGACGCGCCCGCCTGGAAGCACGTGGGCCGCGACGTCGAGTTCGTCTACAACAACAAGGAGTACAACATCGACGAGATCTTCGCGGACGACGGCGAAGACAAGGTCCGCGCGGTGAATGTCCGCGACGGGTCCGACGCCCTCGAGCTGCCCGCCGCCGAGGTCGACGAGATCCTCGAGCGCATGATCCACCCGGAGTCGTCGAAGGCGTCGGAAGAGCCCCCGCGGGCCGCGGCGCCGACCGGATCGCGCCCGCCAGAAGACGCCGCGCGGGAGGAGCCGACGCCCCCGTCGGCGCCCGCGACCACGGTGCCGATGCCGACGCGCCCCGTGACGGCGCCGACGCCCACGGAGCTCCTCGAATCGACGCTCGCGCCGGCGCGCGACGCCTCCGCTCCCGCGGCCGCGGCCCTGGCGTATTAGAGAGGGAGGCCCTGGCGCGTATAAGACGCGTATTAAAGAGGCCCTAGCGCGGCGCGTCGACCATGACAATGTCGTCCGTCGGACCGCCCTGGATGGGCTCCTCCTCGTCGTCCGCGTCGAGATCCAGGACACAGGGGTCGTCGTCGTTGGCGGCGGCGGCCTGGGCCGCCGCGATCGCCGCCTTCGCCGCGGCCCGGTCGGCGCGTTGCGCTTTTTTTTGTGCGAGTTTCGCGTCGCGTGCCGCCTCCGCCTCGAGCCACGCGGGCGTCAACCACGCGTCCCAGTCGTCCGCGGCCCGCTCGAAGCCCCCCGGCTCGAAAAAACGTTGCAGCAGCCCCAGCCGCCACGCCAGCGCACGGGTCTCCGCCTGCGCGATGGGCTTGATCCGCGCAGCGCGGTAACGCGTAGCGCCTCGCCCGCAGCAGCCGCCGAGCGGCGTCTGCCGGTGCCCGCGACGCGTGATCTGCGACTGCATCTTCTCCATGAGCTGCTGCTGGTGGTCCTGCAGGTCGAGGCCGAGCTTCATCTGCTGCGTCCAGGACCCGCGGCCGGACTCCTCCGTGTAGTTCTTGCAGTAGTCCTCGCCCCAGAGCTCCGTGCCCCAGAGGAACGTGAGCGTCGACGACACGTGGACCGCGTCGATGACGCCCGGCGAGTAGGGCGCGTGGTTGTCGTGGATCAAGCGCTTCTCCGCGCGCCACTCGACGACCCAGTCGTGCATCTTGCGGTTCCGGGCGACGTCGTACGTCGTGGGGCAGACGAGGTCGATGATCTCGTCGATCGCGGGGCCGAAGATCCGCGCGGTCTGCTCGGCGCCGAAGGCCTTCTCGATGATGCCGTTCCCGTCGTCGTTGGGCTTGAGCTGCTTCTTCGCGGCGGCGTCGCGGGCGCCGAGGGCTCGGCCGACGACGGTGTTGAGCTGCTCCAGGAGGGCGTCGCGTTGCGCGGCGGACAAGTCGTCGCGCTCCGTGTAGATGTCGCTCGCGGAGAGGTTGAGGAACGCGTTCTCGATGGCCTTGACGCCGTGGACGCCGACGCACGAGGCGGCCTTGCCCGGGTCCACACGGATGTACGCGCGGCCGGCGACGCGCCGCGACCGCGGCTCGAGCTCGAGGCGCTCGAGCGTCTTCCGGTTCGCGAGGACGAGGAGCTCGGCCTCGAGGCGCTCGCGCAGGAGCGACTGGAGGTCGCCGACGGGCGCGTCGGGCGCGTAGTCCATGCGGCGGCGGCGGAGCGCCTTCACGACGGACGCGCGATACGCCGCCGCGTCGACGTCCGCCAACGGCGCGTAGATGGAGAACGAGTCGAACTCGTCGGCGACCATGGCCGACGGCACGCCGGCGGCGTCGAGGGCCGCGTGGACCTGGCCGAGGTCGTAGAGGTCCTGGACGCCCGCGAGGGCCGGGAGCTTCTTGGGGAGCTCGGAGATGTCCGCGTCGAGACGGGCCTGGTCGGGCAGTGAGAGCGACGTCTTCTTCGGGTTCTGGAAGCGGACGAGCACCTCCAGCGGGATCTCCTCCGGCACGACGGGCGACTCCTCCAGCTCCTTGCGCTTCCGGTCGACGACCGCGTCGCTTAGGATCTCCGCGGACGCGACGTGCGGACACGCGAGCCCGTCGAGGCGCCGGGACCCGGCGCACGCGGCGCAGCGCCACCGGCTCGTCGACGGGTGGACCGAGAGGACCTCGGAGGACACGAGGTCGCAGCGCCAGTCGTAGAAGTGGACGCCCTTGCACGCGCCGCCGCGCCTGTGTGGACATCAAATCTTCAACCCGACTTCAACATATTTGTCATTGAGCGTATGCAACCAGATTATCAGGCTATGCTTCGAGAACTCGACGAGAGCGATCGATTCGTCCAAAAATCAGCCGAATCGACTTCGAAATGACCGAGCTAGAGAATTTCAAAGTTTGGTTGATTTCCACACCGCGCCGCGCCCGGTGATCTTCTGGTACGAGGACATGTCCATGCCCTTCGTGAAGCGCACGTGGAGAAAGACGCCCGTGGCCGGGTCGACGAAGCCGCCGTCGGCCTCGATCTGCGCGCAGGCGTCGAGGAGCCACTTGAAGACCTCGTCCCACGTCTGCTTCGTCTCGGCCATGAGGACCTGGCCGATGATCATGACGTTCATGATGCCCTGGACGGTCTTGATGCTCGAGCCCGTGAGCGGGTTGCGGCCCTCCTTGCCGATGTACTGGAGGATACAGAGGAGCTGGTCGAGGCCGCCCGTCCCGGCGCCGGCGCCGGTAAAGGTCGACGCGTCGCCGGCGTACTTGAAATGGGGCGTCGCGGCCCCGCCGCGGACCGCGGCGCCGTAGGTGCCCGTGGCGCGCATGTAGGTGACGGCGGCCTTCTTGAGGTCGGCCCCGAAGTACTCGCCCTTCGAGATGTTCAACGAGCCCGGCGCCGTCCAGGACGGCTCGCCGAACCAGTCGTTGCTCACGATCAAGGCGTCCGCGCCTGTGCAGGAAAAGGGTGCGAAATTCCCAACTTCAAAGGCTCCTATCTCGGTCGTTTTCCGCTCGTTTCGGCTGATTTTTGGACGAGCGATCATCTCTCGGAACGGTCTCGAAGCGTGGATGATTTTTCCGGAACGCGCGCGCGCGGAACACTCACGTTGAAGCGATGTTGAATCACCCTTTTCCTGCCCTGGTCCGCGCGTTTCTGGTCCTCCAACATCTGGCCCGCGTGGGGCAGCATCGAGTAGCCGCGCACCTCCTCCTTCTTCCGCGCGGAGATGCGCTCGTTGCCGAGGAACTCGCGCTGGAGCTGGTTGAGGGACGCGCGGACGTGCTGGATCGAGGCCTTGGACACGTCGGGATGCTCGTCCTTGAGCTGCGTGAAGCGGTAGCTCCGCTCGATGAAGAACTGGTTGTGCTCCATGATGACCTTCTTCTTCACCTTGTCCCAGAGGCCCGTGGGCACGTCCAGCCAGCGGAGCATGAGCTCCGCGGCGTCCTTTTTGGGCATGCCCTCCGTGAGCGACAGGTAGGCCTCGGTCATGACCTTGTCGAATTTTATCTGGGATTCTCGGGCTTCCCCAAGCCCGTCATAGCGCGCATTGGGCCGGGCACGACGCGGGTCCGTCGGCCCCAGCCGCGTGCGCAGCTTGTTCTCCAGGTTCTCGACGTGCCGCGCGCCGTCGACCACCGTCGCCGGCGGGAGCTCGACGCGCGCCGCCAGGATCTTCTTCAGGTCGTCGCCCCCGAGCTTGACCTGCTCCTTCGAGCCCGAAGCGAGGACCTCGTCGTACTTCTCCTTGAGCGCGAGGCGCCGCTGCTCGTCCGGGTGCATGTCGAGGAGTCGCTCGCCGATATCGTCCGGGAGGACCAGTCTCTGCACGTGGACGACGCCCGCCTTCGTCGACCCGCCGGCTTTGCTGGCGCGCGCGCGCTTCGGAGTCCTTTCGACGGGGACGTCCGAGTCGTCCATGGCCGTGAGGTCGACGACCGCGGCGTCGATGGGCTGCTGGAAGGTCTGCGCCGGCGCGGCGGCGCCGGGGGACCCGAGGGGCTGGAACACGTTCGGCGGCGGGACCAGGTGCGCGGGCATGGTCGGCGCGAAGCCCGGGGAGCACATGGGCGGGCACGGCGCCCCCCAGGGCGCCATCGTCGGCATCTGCATCGTAGGCATGAACATGTCCAACCGCGGCGGCGAATACAAACGGCGCCGTGGGCAGATCCAAACCGTGGAAGCTGAAACCGCTCAACGGCTGCACCGGACGACTTCAACGACATGATGCTCGGCAGCGCGATGGCCCAGGAGCGCTGGGATGGGTCGATTTTGGCGGCGCGCGACGGCGCTGGCGGCCGAGAAGGCTGCCTCGAGCTGAGCCGCTCGGTTCAAGGGCTGCCCTTACCATTGG